TAAGAGTGGTTTTTTTATGCTAATGAGATGACTGGTGGTTGGGGGCCCCTAGGTAGCTTTGGAATAAGGGCTGGTCACAGGAAGAAAAAGGCATGGGAAGAGGGTTGTGACTTTCAGGCCCAGTCCCCAGCCTCTGGGGAGGGGAGAAGGGCAAAGGGTTGAAGGTTGAGTTGATCACCAATGGCCAGTGATATAACCAATCGTGCTTACATAATGAAGCCTCCATAAAATCCCAAAGGCAGCGTTTGGGGGGCTGATATCTGAACACATGGAGGTTCGTTCCTAGAGGGCAGAGTGCCTGGAGCGGGCAGGGAAGCTGCGTGCCCCTTCCCACATACCTTGCCCTGTGCATCTCTTCTGTCTGGCTGCTCATCTGTATCCTTTGTGATATCCTTTATACTAAATGGGTAAATGTAAGTAAAGTGTTTCCCTGAGTTCTGTGAGCCTCTCTCACAAATTAACTGACCTGGAGGCAGGGGTCATGAGAAACCCGGTTTATAGAGAGTCAGTCAGAAACACGGGTCACCACCTGGGGTTTTTGATTGGCATCTGGAGAGAAGAGAAGTCTTGTGGGATTGAGCCGTTAACCTGTGGGATCCGACCTTACCTCCGCGGGGAGACAGTGTCAGAATTGAATGATGGGACACCCGGTTGGTGTCCACTGGGGAATTATTCGGTGTGTGGGGAAATAACCCCTCACGTTTGGTGTCAAAGTGTTGAGTGCTGGGTGAGTGGGAGGAGGAAAGAACACCTTTGGATTTTTTTCTCCCATATATTTTATTTTATTTATTTATTTATTTATTTAAAATAAATTTACAGGTCGGCAGCTGTTGACCCCCATATATATTTTTTTTTATTTTTTTTTTTATTTCGGCATATTGTGGGGGTACAGATTTTAAGGTTTCAATAAATGCCCATTTCCCCCCCGCCCCCCAAAAGTCTGAGTCTCCATCATGACCATCCCCAGATGGTGCACATCTCACTCATTATGTATGTATATACCCGCCCCCTCCCCCCTCCCACCTGCCCAATACCCTATTACTGTAGCACCTATGTGTCCACTTAGGTGCTACTCAGTTAATACCAGTTTGTTGGAGAATATATCTGGTGCTTGTTTCTCATTCTTGGGATACTTCACTTAGTAGTATGGGTTCCAGCTCTAACCAGGAAAATATAAGATGTGCTATATCACCATTGTTTCTTAGAGCTGAATAGTACTCCGTGGTATACATATACCACTACCCCCATATATTTTAAAAGCAGAATTAGTATCAGGCTCTGAAAAAGAATGGTCTTTATATTGCTGGCATTGGGATCCATAATTTTCTCAGGAGGTCTCTGTGAACGTTTTTCCAGATTCACATAGGCTCAGAATTTGGTGGTCCAATGCCAGAATCACGGTTGAACTAGCCCAGGAAGTAGTTCTATTTGTACCAAAGACATTGTGGTACCAGGTAATCGCCCCGTCGACTTGTAGCAGAGCCTTATCTCCCGTGCATGTGGCTCTGTGTGTCCCCATAGCCGAGTGCCATTTGCGGAGCTGCGCCTCGTCTGCTCTGCTCTTCTGCTCTTGAGCGAGCACTTTCTGGCCCCCAATGCTGCTAGCAGAAGGCAACTCTGTCGCCTGGAAGACAGCTCTGTCTGTCCTTGGGGATTGTCTCCAGAGTCTCCAAAATCAATGCTGGATTTTTCTGAGGCACAGAAAGCTTCCCAGCTCTGAGGCACGCTGTGTTATTTGGGCCTTGAAGCAACTCGCTCGTCCTGAAAGCTGCACAGAAAATCTCTAAACAATATTCTATAGGATAATCTTCAACCTCCTAATACCCTGTTTCCCCGAAAATAAGACCTACCCGTGAAATAAACCCTAGCAGGATTTCTAAGCATTTGCGCAATAGAAGCCCTACGCCGAGCATAAGAGCTAGTGCTGGGCGTGGCTGCGCAGCGTGTCTGCACAACCCGTGCATTTCCTCAGGGAGTGGTAAAGGAGATGAGCACCCCTTCTCATCTGCCCCATCGTGACAGCGACTATCCCAGAGGCGACCAGAAAGGTGCGGGCAGCCCCACCAACAAGGCTGGCTCCCCCTGTCAGGTCCCGGCCATCCTGTGCGTGCTGCAAGCTGAGGCTTTGAGGGGAAAATAACACATGCCCTGAAAATAAGCCCTAGGTGTCTTCTTGAGGAAAAATACATATAAGACCCTGTTTTATTTTCGGGGAAACACGGCACTAGGGGGTCAAACTCAGGAAGCACAAAGAGAAACCAAAAGCATAGCATCCTCTTCATCCTCCTCTGCAATTTGTCTGGTGCAAAATCCCTATGGGAAAACTGTCCTTCTTCAATGACAAAACGAAGTGTGACTTGCCTTTCAGTGGGCATCAGCACACAGTGTACGTGTGCGTGTGCTCGAGTGTGTTTGGAAGATGGAGGTGTCAGCACCAGTTGTGCCTTTTAAAACTGAATCCTACCCTGCCCACGGTTTCACTCCTCCATAATCTTGCTTTTCATTCTGCAAAGCATTGTGATCATATCAGAGAGATTGATCTGTGTCTCCAAGGACACTTGAAAAAGACTGATCTGTGTCTTTCAAACCAAACCAAATATAGAGGTTGTAGACGTCTGAATAAGAAACTGTTACGTAATTTTTAAAAATCTTCTGTCAAAAGGTGGAAGCAGCCCAAGTGTCCATCAACCGACGAATGGATAAATAAACAAAATGTGGTGTGCACATACGATGGAATATTATTCGACCTTAGTATGGAAGGAATGCTGATGCATGCTACAATATGGAGAAAACTTAAAAACATACTGAATGAAGAAAGCCAGACACAAAAGGACAAATATTGTATAATTCCACTTAGATGAAGCACCTAAAATAGGCAAATTCATAGAGACAAAAAATAGAAAGAAGTTACTGGGAACTGAAGGGGGCAGGTGAGAACAAGAAGTTATTGTTTAATGGTACAGAGTTTCTATTTGGAATGATGAAAATGTTGTGGAAATGGACAGTGGTGGTGGTTGTATAGCCTTGCAAATGTACTTAATGTTACTAATTATGCACTTAAAAATGATTAAAATACTAAATTTTATGTTGTGTAAATTTGATCACTACAAAAACAAAAAAAAAGAAAAAGAATCTGTAAAGATTCTAAGAGTAAATACATCCTAGTAGAGGCTAACCCAAGGCATTGAAGGAGGCTTATTTGGTTTTGCTAGATTGGAAACTACTTGAGGACAGGAACTCTGTCATTGTAAGTGCCACACTCTTTATGATAGTGTCTTGGACATGGTAAGACTCAATGAATCGTAGCTGAATTGAATTAGATGCTGACCCACAGGATTTTTCAGTTTAATTCATTCTTGCAGGAGAGAAATAAATGGATTTTCTGGTCAAATTCAGGGGAATGCTTTTAAAGGCTTGTTTTGTGGGAACAGTTTGTACAGCTTGCCAGTGTTTGACTGCAGTCTGGCTGCTTGAAAAGCTTGGGAAAGTGCCAGGCAGAGCAATAAGAGATAGCTGGGAGGTTGAGGGGTGAGTGATCAGGATTCAATCTTGTGTGTGGCTTTGGCAAAGGGATGTTCAAAGGTTAATAGCACAAAGATATTGGCTTTGAAAAAGAACATTCTTTGAAAGAATCCAAAAGGACACAGGAACAAACTTGATTGGAATTGATTGTACAGAATCTCTACTGTGTGAGAAGAGGAGAGAAGTGGAAAGCACTTAGGATGGATAATACTCCTCTTTCACTGCAGGAAAATACACCAGGCAAAAGCAGCCAATGGTTATAGCGGCTGAACTTTTCCAAAAATTTATTCAAAAAGATTCTTTTCTTGGAGTCTTCCCTTTGTCACAAATGATATCTCCACTTGCAAAAAGAAAAAATAAAAGTGTTTTTCTGAGTGGTTACACTCTTAGGGGGGGTACAATGTAGCATTTAGATTTTGTAGACTGAAATATTATTTTATAACTAGAATTTAGCCAAGTAATAAGTTATATTTTAGCTCACTTCTTACAAGTAATACATCAACATTCTTACTCCTAAAAATTCAAACATTGGCTGAAGTACGTGGAGTTAAAATGAAAGCATCCTTCCTCTAATTATCCCATTTCTTTTAACAGAGAGGTCTGTTGGTAAGGTTTGAAATGTACTCTTCTAGAAGATTCTCTTACATTTGCATACATATGTGTAAATATAGAAATAGCTTTTATTTTTCCTAACTTTTTACATAAACTGTAGCAAACTCTTTTTTCTGAAATCTACGTTTTGTTGGAGTTTTTGAAAGCAGTGAAGTGACAGAGAGGAGCAGAGACATTGGAATAGAGACCTTGTGTAATCTGCACATTCAACATCCAATGTTTGCATAGTGAGGAATTGCCTATATTACTTGGATATTTAAGAGCCCTAAACTCTACAAGATGATTTACAACTTTATCATGTGAAAGGTGTGGACGTTTGTGTGACCACAAAGTAAAAGGAAAAATTCTACACACAGCACATAAGAAAGTCTCACCACTTCACAGTCCCATTCTTTATGCTTACATACAAAAAACACAGGCAACTTACTTGCTTTTCTTTGTCTGGCTGATACCTTGAGAAATTAATACCTTTTGCATAAGTGTAAAATTTTGCATTTTTCTTCATCCTCTGTTCATTGAAGTGTGGAATCACAGTTAGTTGAATTAATTATCCAAACTAGAACATGCATACTATTAAAGCCAGATATTTTGAAGATCTAAAACCTGGAGAAAATTAAATTAGCTACAGAATTCTCATTTAAGTCATAACCCTCAAATTAGAACTTGGCTGTACGTATTGTGCAGTGGGTAAGGAAGAGAAGAGGCATTTCCTTTTGAATTATTTCCTAATTACTATGTTACAGATTGAAAAATATTTTGTTAGTTTTATAGGTGTTTGCATTTTACCTGCAAAAGACCTTGCTTTAGGTTGCAGCTTGTTGTTTTGTTTATACAAAGCACTCTCTCTTTGAATGTTTGATCTATAGACATGCAGACTGCTGCTGCCGTGCCACCTCTGCTGTTGTGTCCCCACCTCAAACCATGGAGACTGTCCCCAGTTTCTGCACCTTTCTGGATCTCAATCTTCCTGAGTTCTAAAGGGCCGACCGGCGATGGAGAAAGAAGGCTCAAATGTATTTGGGGACTTGACGCCTACTTGTGCCACATCAGTTTAATTTTCCATTAAAGAATCTTCTGCATCAGGTAAAATATAAATGCCAATAGTCCATGGATGTCAATTCTCTTGCCTTCCTTTTTCCTACTTCCTATGATTCCAATGCAGGGAATTGTGTGTGTATATACATATATATGGGACAACTTACTGTGCCCCATTTTTTCTAAACAAGTTTTAGTTGCTAATGATGAGTACGGTTATTTTTTTTTTTTATTTTTTATTTTTTTGAGACAGAGTCTCACTTTGTTGCCCAGGCTAGAGTGAGTGCCGTGGCGTCAGCCTGGCTCACAGCAACCTCAATCTCCGGGGCTCAGCGATCCTACTGCCTCAGCCTCCCGAGTAGCTGGGACTACAAGCATGCGCCACCATGCCCGGCTAATTTTTTGTATATATATTTTTAGTTGGTCAATTAATTTATTTCTATTTTTGGTAGAGACGGGGTCTCGCTCAGGCTGGTTTCGAACTCCTGACCTTGAGCAATCCGCCCGCCTCGGCCTCCCAAAGTGCTAGCAGTTATTTTTTAATAGCTTTAAAGATAGACCTTATCCACCAGCATTTACTAAATGCCTAATTTGTATAAACAACTCAACATTTATTTCCAATTCTTTTTGACCAGGAAAAAATGCATACCTTATACCCTTAGCTTTGAACTTGAGCAGAACCAGATAAGCAAAGAGGTTTGGAGGTAGCAGGAGACGGGGTGTTTTATGGCTTTCTTTTTTGTCCTTTAGCCAAACTACCTGTCATCAAGGGAGCTGATTCTTGATGAGCTGATCTAAAGCCAAGGTTTAGGAGGCTAGACTGAAAGGCAGATGAAGCAAAACAAGTAAACCTGTTAATGATCTGTGCATATGGAGTTTTACAGCTTCCAAAATGTATCTAATGGCTTTTTTTTTTTTGTGAGCCATAGTCTAAAGGATGATGGCAAAACCAACTTGGATGGCAAGAAGTGAAGACTATATTAAACCAAGTAGGTTCAGAAATATCTGAAAATGCAAATAACTACTGCATTTGTTAATGAGGTTGCTATTTTTAAAGATACACTAATATAACCAATCTATTTCATAGCACAAGGTGACTTTTTTGTTCCTGCTCCTTCTCTTCTTTATTTTTTTTCTTTTAAGTGCTTTCTTCCACTCACACATTTTTCCCCCTCCTTTTTCTCTGATAGGCTCTTCTCAGGTACCATAATTGGGCTGTGAAGGACAGATTAGGAAATGTGCTTGGTTGTGCTAAGCTAGTTATTTATAAAGAGGATCTTCCAGTTGGATTCCCAGGGGCTTGGGTAAATACTGCTACAATGATAACATGAAAGATCCCTGATCACAGATCACCATAACAGATATCAAAATAATAAAAAGTTTGAAATATTGTGAGAATTACCAAAATGTGACACAAAAACATGAAGTGACCACATACTGTTGGAAATATGGCACCAGTAGTCTTGCTGGACTCAAGGTTGCCACAAACCTTTAATTTGTAAAAAATGCAACATCTGCAAAGCGCAATAAAGGGAAACACAAGAAAATGAGGTATGCTTGTACATAAAAAGATATTCACTGCTACATTGTTTATATCATTAAAAGGTTGGAAGCAGCCCGATAGGGCATTGGTTAAATAGATTTTGGTACATCTACACTACTGAGTGTCATATAGCTATAGGAAGGAAAGAGGAAACTCCCAAATACTAATATGAAAAGATGTCTAAGACATATTGTTAAATGAGAATAAGAAGGTTCATAAGACTATGTATAATGTGCAGTCTTATTTAAAAGAAGGATACAAAGAAGAACAAGGATATAAATTTGCATTTGTTCTTACTAATGCACTGAAAAACTTTGGAAGGAGATACAAAAGCTAATTGAGAACTAAAGCCATCTAACTGACTCTCAGCCTGGACACTGGACACTAAGTACAGAAACCACACCTTACTATCTGCACTAACATGACATTGCTTTTCCACCATCCCCATTACCATTTCTTCACTCTTCTGGGACTGTCCTGCCCAAGCAAATGGTTTGATTGTTCATTTTAGGAACTTCCTGAAGGACCCACCAACTCTTCATTGGAAAGGATCAACAGTTTGTCTTTTAAGATTCTTGGAATCCCATGCTCTCAAAATCCTCACCTTGATGATTCCACTGATCCTGGACTATTGTATTGTGATTCTTACTTGGTCCTAGTCAAGTCCCTACATCGAAAGACCCACCTTAAACTACCCTTGCGATTTTTGATAAATTTTTACTTCACCTTATACCATCTGAGACACTACAAAGCTGATGTGATGTTCTCTCCTACTATACTAAGTAATTAACTAAACTTGTCTTATCAACAAGCTGTGTTGGTGATATTTGGGTAACCAGCTTTTGATATAATGAGAAGTGGTTACCTGTTTTGTAGGTGGGTATATGTATGTAAGGGTACTGGACAGATGATAGAAGAGGGGTGGAGAAAAGGTATAGTTTGTTTTACCTTTTTATTTTTCTTCACTGAAAATTTTTTATACTGCTGAATCATGTGACTTCATTATCTATTAAAGATTAAATGAAATTAAATATTATTTTGCATGAATACAAGTATTAAAATTGTGGGTTAAATGATAAATCACTAAATTTCTTTCCAATACTGTGATTCTATTACAATTTTATATTGTCCACTAATAAAATGATTTCCAAAATTGGTGCAACATTGGAGATGGCTACATAGTTTATATATCTATTGTAATGGGATAATTTTCAAATGCCCAGTTCATTAATTCACAGGTGTTTCTAATGCTGATTTCGATTAACATTTGTCAGAGCTAAAAATACAAATTTTATCTAGAGCCCAGCACTGTTTTGACAATATCATTTTCAACGTTATGACTTTTTAGCATAGACTTGTGGTTTTAATTGGAAAACCAATTACTTTAAAAACTATTCTACTCCTGCCCTTTAGCATGATTTCTATCAGAAGTCCCATATTTTTGGAAGATTTTAATGATAGTTATGACTGTCAGAAGAATCCAGGGTGTCTCAGAGAGGATTGTGGGTAACTTGAGAGAACTCTGAGGCTATTCTGGAGTTTAAAGGTCTGTTGTTGTAGTTGAAAAGTTGGAGTAACATTCTAAGAAAATTGGATTTAACAAAAAAGAAACAGAAATTTGCAAAAGCAGTGAGAATGAATAGCACAACTGACTTTTGTAGGTTTTTAAAAACAGGATTATATAGTTTGTTTTATGGTTTTATTTTCCTTTAAATAATATTTTGAGGGAAGGGACTAGATGAAAAAAGAAAGAAGTGATGTCCTGTGAGGGTATGCTATGGGTAAGCAGGGTAGAAAAGTGAACCTGAGTTTCCTTCTTTTTGTAATCTAAGGGCTAAAAGAAGGAGAGATTAGGCACAGATAATTGAAAACAAACCCCCCAGATCATTTATATTTTATTCTTAAGTATCCACATTCTTTAGGAGCATCCTTTTTACTTTATTAAATTTGACTGTACAAAGAAATTATTAATTTTCAAGGTATTGTAGCACAAATTTACATTTGCATAATAATACCATTTGAATGACATTTACAATTCATCAGGAGCTCTCAAATACATTCTTATTCCTGATAATCATTGCTCTCTATGTATGGCATATTGAACAAAGAATATACTCTTTCTTTCCCTTAATGACGTTTTTTTCCTTTCATTTAATTAATATTATTTGACATTTACTTACATCTTTCAGATACAAAGTAATCATATTTCTTATCACTCAACATCAAACTCAATTACATATTCAAGAGAGTTTTTTGAAACTAGTGTCCATCTGTTAAACATACCCTCAGTTGGCTGCATTGATTTAATTCTTTGCTTATGAAGCTTTCTTTTCACTCATAATAGTTTTGGTTTTTCTCTGTAAATTGACAAAGGCTGACATTTTTATATCGGCATATGGGGATTGAAATTTCTAAAATGTAGGTATCTCTAAGCACCTTTGTGGTTAGAAAAGTGCTTAGATTGAAATTCTCTTTATCCTGCCATTGATTCTGTTAAAAACTTGGAGCCCTGGGGCCCCCCACTTTAGACAAAAGAACACCCACTGCTAGTTGGGTCTGAGCACGCCTACAAGCCAGGGAGAGCATTTGCATGGAAGACTGGGGTGACTTCTGGAAGAGAACTCATCCTAAGTGGGGGAAGAATCTGAATGCTACCCAGAGGCTGTCCATCAGCTGTTTCCTCCCCAGCCATCTGGATATAGCTCTGCTTCTTTGATCATAGGAGAGAGGTTGGTAAAAGCAGACAAAGACAGGGACACAGGTTATCACTGCAGCTCTGGACCTTGATGTACCTGGTAGGAAATGGTGGAAATGTCTTGCAGACACCACTGGTTTTGCATAATTGAGGTGGCACTGCCTGGTAGTCACTGTGGAATTGAATAAAAGCTGAAGGAGTATTTATTTAATATGTAGTGGCTAACAGTACCTAATACTGAGCTTTGTGACGCAACTCTCTGGTGTTTCCCAGAAATAAACGTGGGAGACTTTGTAGGAAGCAGAGGTCCTGCCTTGGCAGGTGAGGACTCAGAGTAAAACACCAGTTAAGATGGATTTATTGTGGTGCAAAGAAAATTCTTTAGATGGCATCCATTTCTTAGTACGGGAGGTAGGTTGGGCTGATTGATATTGGTCTTTCTACATTCAAAATTAGATTTCAGAACAGGAATCTTGTGGTAACTGGATTTGGTGAATGAGATACCCTGATTAACACTGGCTTTGGTGCTAGGCTAACAAACTCTGGACTACTGTTTATCGGTCATTTTGAACGAAGACTTGTAGCTCCTTCTCAGAGTGACGTCAGTGGAAGGGGTAGTCAACTCCCAGGTAGCTACAGAAGAGCAATGTGGTTTCTTGAGGGAATATTTAGTGGGAAATTCAATTCACGGAGGGGGGGGAAGGGGGGTTTTGTCTATTTTTCCAGTATCTTTTCTTGTTTTCATTAGCATGAAAGGACAAGTAAAATGCAAATGCAGAGATGGTACACTAACTTCCGGGGGTAGATTATTATCCACTAACTTAGAGCAGAGTTTAGATGGAAAGCTCCATATAATCATACCTCACCCTAACCAAAAAACACAAAGATTGTGTTGTTTGTTCTAACAGAAAAATCAAAGGAGGAAGAAGAGAGACATTTATATTTGTGAAACATGTGAATGTAAACCAGGTCTTCATGTGGGTGAATGTTTCAAAAAATATCACACCATGAAAAATTATAGAGATTAAAATTACTCTTTGAATGTAGCAATAATTTGAAATATAAAAAAATCCAAATAAATACATTTGTATGAAAAGAAACTCCAGTTTTTTATTCTACTGCCGTGCTTTGTGAAATCTGGTGTTATATTCGAGATTCACAGGGCCGCAGGACAGAGAGACAGACTCACCGAGGCTGTAATTATCAAAAGGAGTTTTATTGTCTAGCTCGAGCTAGGGTCCGAGCCCCCAGAGTGCCAGCGCAGTGGCCTCTTCTCCGGGCAGGGACCCTCCTTTGTGTGTTAGTCCCCTTTTTATAACTTAGTTGTTTACACACTGGTCATGCATCCACCTCCACAGTGATTCTTACTTCATCCTGCCCCTGATGGGCTCTAACCTGTTCCGGGTCCTAGCTGAGAGACTGCGGTTTCCGAGTTCTTTGTCTTTTTCCTCTGCATCCCATAATGTACTCATAATGCCTTGCGGTTAGCAAACAAGCAGTAAACAGAAGCTGGAAGGTGTCCATTGTCCTTATAGCCCAGTATCTTACAATGAGGTATTTAAAAAATACCTGAGTAGAATAAAGGAATCGAGAACAAAGCAAGCGAGTGCAAAGGGTTAAAATAGCTTCTGAATTTTTACAGATTAAAAGAACATAGGGACTTTAAGTGCAGACCTTTCTCACTTCACAGCTTGAAGTTCTCAGCTATTAAAAAAAGGCACCTAACTTTTACATCCATGAGAAAAAGTATTCAGATCTCCAAATATCTGATGAATGAATGAGTAGCTGTTGATCCCTGAGGGTTTATTCCAACTTTGTGCTATGTAAAATCATAACAAAAGGCTTGTCTTGGCTGTGTTTGTTTTAGAAAATTTCTGTTCCTCAGAAGCAATTGAGGCTGATTTAGGTTCTGTTGTGCTTGGGCTTGAAGGGAGGAGGTAGACTAGAAATCAGTGATATTTATCCCAGTGTTATAACTAGTATTTTCCTAATAAAACTGAACTTCTCTGCACTTCTAACCCCCAGCGCCCAGAGGCTCTGTCTACCCCAGTAGGGAGGGAGTTGGAATTTGGGTCAATTTTTGTTTTTTTTTTTTCTTCATGTGTTAGTATGGCTGGGAAAAAACCCAGATCAACTCTAACTTCATGTATTTATTTATTGAAATGTAGTAGAAGTAGAGAAACTAAGAAAGTATTGTCAAAATGCAGAATAAAAGGTTGGCCAAAGATGGATTTACTCATGTAGTCTTAGTCTTTCTATGCTTAAGACAACCTTTTACTCATTTATTCATTTCTTCAACAAATATTAATTGAGCACATACTATGGGCCAGGAACTATGCTGTGTGTGTGTGTGTGTGTACTGTAGGAGTATTTACAGCTAAACACAATGGAGACATGGTCCCTGCTCTTATGCAACTTTCAGCCTAGCAAGTGAGGAAGACAATTAAAGACTTTACAAGAGGCAACATGCTTTGGGAGCACAATGCTACATCAACTTAGCTCAACAAATCTGAAACTAAACATCTCATCTAGTTCCCTATATTTGCACCCTCTGCTCTATTCTGTTATACTTTTATTTCTCCTGGGGCAATATGTTAAAGCCATCCTTGATTCCTCCTTCTTTCTCACCCCAATATTTTATCAGTCACTGTATATATCCATTTTTTAAATTGAGATATGGAAACTTAGTCAACAGATATTTTGGTATCTTCTGCATATAAAATATTCTTCATAAGAAATATTGCTGTATTCCTTCCTTTCTATTACTACTACCTAGTTTGATTGAGGGTTACTATGTGCCAGGCACTGTGGTAAGGGCTTAATCCTCACGATATATTATTTAATCCTCATGACAACACTTTGAGATAGGTGCTGTTACTATCCTTGTTTTATAGATGAAGGAATTTAAGAAGAGACAGGTTATTTTTGGTATTTCATATATATATATATATTTATCCAAGTTCACCAACTAGTAAATGGAAGAACTGGGCTTTGAAACCAAATGGTCTGACTCTAGAATCCATGATTTTAACTACTATGCAATACTACCTTTCCTATGCCTTGGTTATATCTTGCTAAGGCCTTTTTTAAAGAGACTGATGGCCTTCTGCCATGTCTCTCTGTCTCCGAATTCTCCCATCCGAATCTGTTATTTTCTTCATATAAAATCAGTTTTCTTGAAACCATACTTTAAGTCCCTCTATAGCTCTAAAATTCTCACAAGCATTTCAGTGCTTATAGAATAACATGTAAATCATTTAATGAAAAGCTAAAATTTATAGAATACTTACTATAT